CGCCCGGGGCGACACGGGCCGTCGCGGCTTGTCTCCGGGTAAAAACTGAGAAAGGACGACAGAAAGAGACCTGGCTCCTGGCGCCTCCGGAAGCGCGGCCGGCAGGAAGTGACGACGGGCCGCCGGTGTCCCGTGTCCGGTGTCTGGTGTCCGGTGCGCGGTGCGCGGTGAGCGCCGGCCCGACTCGGGAAGAGCCCGGTGGAGCAGCGCGGCCGCCCCCGCCTCGGAGCCAGCGCGTGAGTGCCCGTCCCTGCCCGTCACCGCGTCACCGCCCCGCCCCGCCCCGCGGGGAGGAGGAGGCCGCCAGCCCAGCGCGGCCCCGCACCTGCCCGCCTTAACCTGGCCCCGGCGCCTCGGGACACTGGGGCTCGGGGTCCCGGCACGCGGCGGGACGCGGCCGCGCACCTGCGGGCCGGGCGGGAACGCGCACCTGCAGGCGGCGGGGCGGGGCCCCTGGCGCGGCCAGCGGGCGGCCTCCGGGGAGGGTGCGTGTGACCCCCGCCCACGTGGCGCCCGAGACGGGTCACGGCTGGAGGTCCGGGGCTGGCGACAAGCACACGTGTGACGGATCCGCTCTAGGCCGGGCCGGGCGACCTTGAGCACGTTATGTAACCGCCGCCTCCCGGTTTTTCCCCCGGTGCGGCAGAGCTGCGGTGCCGCCTAGCTAGCTCGGCTGCCGGGAAGTCGGGTGGACGTGTGGCCCGCGCGGCATGGACGCCCTCGCGCTCCTGCCTGCCTCAGCGTGGGGGAGGCCCATCTGCTGCAGGATCCCAGCCTCGAGTTTCAGAGGGCTGACGGAAGGAAATCCCACTTATGGATGCAGTGGAGTTTTTGTAGGGAACTCTAGAAGCCATCGAAGTGGTTCTAATCCGAAAGTGTGTCCGAAAATAAGGCTCTAAATGAGAGACAAAATTGATAGCATTCAAGACGTGATGACCAGCGACGCACAATTTTAGAACCGTCTAGACATGGTATTGGGAGCCCAAAACCAGGGCACTAATTTAAAAACATACAGTCACGTGATCCCTAGAAAAAGTAGTCCTCATCCTAAAAGTTTGTCAGCTTAAAACCAACCCCTAGTAGTCATATTTTGGCAACTTTATCTCTGGATACTCATGTTTACTTGGGATTTCATTCAGCTCATCCTAGCCTCTTTTTACTCAAATAGTTCAAGCATTACATTACAGGAAAATGTGAAATTTTCGTTTTCCCAAAAGAGCCCTGAGTGACATTCCAAACACATGACTAGTAGTATTGGTAATCTTAACCATTAACTTGCCAGGAATGAGCCATTGTAATACCCTTGGGCCTTTTGCTGACTCCAGAGGAAGGCTGTGGTGTTATGCAGTAACCACACAACAGGTGTATGTGTGTAGACTTGGTTAGACTGTTGCATGCCAGGGAGGAGGGGATGGGGTCATAGTTCAGGCCACATGTGGGCTGTCTGTACCATGACTGGACTTCACAATTCCTTATTCTTGGCAGTCTTACAGAGTCATGCCATTGGTTATGATTGAGGACTGGGCAGGAAAGGTCTACCCTCAGTGCAGATCTTTCCCAACTACACTGCTAAAAATAACTCAACTGCAGTCCTGGAAACACGAATGGTGGTGTCATTGCATACCAATGATGTTGTATAACGTATGTTGTATAATTCATGTTAAAATTTTACCATTCTGGGTCAGCAGTAATTAGAAACACATTTTTAAGTATAATTAAAGATTGACATATTTGGGCAGGAGAAAGTCAAGCTCTGGTAGAAATACACCATTTACTAAGTGTCACATGAATAGAATTTTGTGAAAAATTGAAACAAGTTAACCTGCTTCAGATCCATTTGGTCATTAGAAAACAGGTAGTAAACACTTTGGGGCTAGGACTCCTGCAGATACCAAAATTCACACATGCTTACGTCCCTGATAAAAATTTGCCAGATAAATGGCACCTGTGAAATGTTCTAGTGGCCCTTGCTATATTGTACCCCAATTTGTTAATAACTAACGAAAGCTACTACCCTTGCTCCTTAATTGTCCTGGGCCTTCTGCAGCATCTCAAATCAGAAGTGAAAAGTCATCTTTTTTTTTTGCCAAATGTTATTGCCCTCCTATTTTACATTTCGGTACCAATAAAGTTTGAGATTCTATAAATCATAAAGGCAATTGTAGTATCTTGGCTTCCAAAAGTTTCCATCTCTGAAGCATGCTGATTGCTTACTATAAATCATAATGTTACATTCAGAGGAACTCTAGAATTTTGTTTTAAGGAATAAGAATTGAAACTGTGAACATGCCAAATATCACCGTGCCTCCCACTCTTAAAAATATACATATCCACAGTCAGTCTTTAATGTCTACAACTTGGGTATAGTCTAGTTTTAAGAATATTTAGATGTTGCATCTATAAATTCTTAATAATCTAAAATGGTTTCTGTTTTTATTGTTTCTGGCTAATTTTCACAAGACTAATCTTTATATTTCAGCAGGCACCAATAGATATTTTAGAAAAATTACTCTTGCCCTCAAGAGTTTAAGTTAAATGGCTGTTCATGATAGTTTATCCTAAATGAGTAAGGTATGTCTCCAAACATCTGACAAAGACCAGGTTTCAGGAAGGGAGAAACAGGTCATATGACTTAGAAGCAGACCTCTGAAATTTTATTCATTTTATACAGAGGCAAGCCAGAAGAAAGAAAGCAGACTCTGTCCTCAATACATACTTATTAACTAACGGAGCCAAATCTACATGAATGAACATTTTGGAGGCTTAAAAGATGGACTCCAAGATATTTTAGTGGAAGAATTTCTGCAGTGCCTTCATTGTTGTAAGCAATCTAGAAAGAAAATTGCAAAACAGCTTTTTAGACACTCTAGATACTCTTTATCTTGGTATTAGAAAATGACTGTCTTATTCTCAGAAACTATAATACAGTTGTCACCTATCATTCAGTTTTTCTCCTTTTTTCAGTGCCTAAAACAACACTTCTGGATTTCTTTTATGTACTAGGTCATTTTACTTAAACTTAACCTTTTGTGTCTAACACAAGGGAGGAACTTTCTCTTTAAGGAAAAATTCAATTAGTTTCTCAAACACAAATAAGGAATCATTACCCTTTTACTTGCTATTTGATACACTTGCTGTTGTCACTCTTTCTGTGGGAATTTCTAAAGAATGCATTTCCTTGAGTGGAAGTCACAGCTGTGTAAATAGCAAAAAGTGACTTTGCATCCCATAGCTTCTTTCAACCAAATTTGGCCAGCAGGCCAAAACTAGATGAGCTCCAACATTTCCTAATTGTGCAGGAGGCATGTGAAGAGCCATGACCTGTCCGTCACGTCCTGACCAGGCATTGCTCTGTCACAGGTGCAGCACTGTTCTCCTGCCTCCCTACCAGGTGTTTGGGTTTGTGTTTTAATGTATTTTGCTCCTTTCATTTGGGTGATAGTTAACAATTTGGAAACTGCCGTTACATTTCAACTTCTATCTTCTTAGTAATGTTATTTTTTTATCCCAAGTGTTTACCATTATGTAGGAGCTACCATGTATCATAGCTGAACATAAGAGGCAATGGGTTATGTGCCTTAGTTATCTAGACCAGGAGTCAGTAAACTTTTTCTTAAAGGGCTAGATTATGAATTTCTTAGGCTTTGTTGGCTGGGAAGCAGAAATGAGGATATTACGCAGGTACAGTCATTCCCTTGATATCTGGGGGATTGGTGCCAGGACCCCCACAGATACCAAAATCCATGCATGCTTTTGTCCCTGATACAAGTGGCCCACTAGTTGTCTATAACCTACACACATCTTCTGTATATTTTAATTATCTGTAAGTACTTAGGATACCTAATACAAGTAAATGCTATGTAAATAGTTGTTATGTATTTTTAAATTTGTGGTTTTTTGTGTATGTATTATTATTTTTTCCAAATATTTTCTATTCATGGTTGGCTGGCTGACTGTGGATGTGGAACCTGCAGATAAAGGTGCCAACTGTACGCAGGACCATTTAGAATGTCCCCACTTAGAAATGTGGATCCAATCTTGGCACATGGGCTACACACAAACAGGTAGTGGACTGGAGTTGACCAGCAGGCCACATTTGCCTGCACTTCCCAGACAGTCATACCATCCTCATTAAAAGAAACCCTGCTTTCTTTTCTCTCCAGAATCTCCATGGCCAGAGGTTTCGGAGTGATGGGTGACGATGGTTCTATCGATTACACTGTTCATGAGGCCTGGAATGAAGCCACCAATGTCTACCTGATTGTTATTCTTGTTAGCTTTGGGCTCTTCATGTATGCGAAGAGGTAAAGTATTTTCCTTTCTTAGTGTAGACTTAAAAACCGGGCATTTAAAAGTTTTGCAAGTTTTGGACCCGAATCTTCTCTGTGCCGTCATGCCCGTCCTCCCGTTGCTGTGGGACCTGACAGGCTTGGCCCGCTAGCTCCCTATACTGCATGCCCAGGTCCATTAGAATTTTCTGTGGGAGCAGCTTGAGACCATAGATGTCACCGTTTGGGATCACTTCCTGCTTCTTTTGTTTTCTCCTGCATGCAGGCTAAGTCCTGGTCACACCTGGAGAGCTACAATAAGTGGGAGTGAAGGGCACTGTCCTTCCTCCCACTCTGACCTGTCCACCCCCTGCTGACTACCCTGATCATGTCTCATGCATTCCTAGCTGGCCTCCCCCAGATCATGTCTTTTAATTCCATTTACTTTTCTGCAATTATGACCTCTCGATGTCTCCATGGTGATATTTTGGGATCACATGCATGGGCCCTGCTCGGTGGGGTCCCTCTTGTAACCATAAAGCCTATTTAAGCCTTAAAAAAAAGTTTTGCAAGTTTTTGTTTTTGCTTTTTTTGAGTTGGAGTCTCACTCTGTTACCCAGGCTGGAGTGCAGTGGCACACTCATGGCCATCCCAGTGTTGACCTGCTAGACTCCAGTGATCCTTCCGCCTCAGCCTTCCAAGTAGCCAGAATTACAGGCGTGTGCTACTGTGCCCGGCTAATTTTTTATTTTTATTGTAGAGTCGAGGTCTCACCAAGTTGCCCAGGCTGGTCTCGAACCCGCAGGCTCAGGCAATTCACTCTCCTCTGCCTCCCAAAGTGCTGGGATTACAGGTTGAGCCACCGAGCCTGACCAGATTTTTAAAAACAATATGAATGCATGCATAAAATAATTTCATCAGGATTTTGTTTGTGCTGTGAAAGGTACTGTCTACTCTGGTCTCTCCTCAAGCACTGGTGACCGAGGTTTGGCTCTGAAACCCCATTGCTTTATGAGATGAAGATTTAAATACAGCTCTCAGCACCAGACCAGCTGCTCCAAACTCCCAATTCTGTAATGTTTGATATAGCTGAATCTTATCATCTAGACTGTGTTTATGATGACCCTTCAATTAACACACTTTTTTTATTTTTTTGGCCCAAGTTCCCAAAATGCAGAAGCACTAACTCCTATGTATCTAGCAGATCTCTCTTCAGCCAGTTAAAACTTTTCCTTGTTTCTCATGTATGACTCTATCATAGCATTTATTAAATAGTATTATTCTTATCTGATTCCTTGTCTGTCCATTCCACAAAATATCTTTTGTCTTTTACATTTGATTCCTTGGGGTGTCACACAGTGTAGATCCTCAATAACTGTTTCTTGCCTTAATTCCAGCTGTTGTAGCTTAATTTAACTGCTTTCTCACACTTCCTGGCTTCTTTTTCCAAAGTACAGTTTAAAAAAAAAGAAAAAGAGAAAAGAAAGACAGGAGTGGAGAAGGAAGACAGGGAACTTTGAAGAAGTAGAGCAGTATTAGTAGACTAGGTTGCTTCTTACTGTCACATGCTTCAAGGTGTCCTTTACCAAAGTAAAAAGGGCATTAAATTGTTCTAAATATTTAGCAATCCAGAAATAATTTTTGTTTGGCTGTGGAATGCTTCAGAGCCTATGCTTATGCTTGGATGTGTGTGCTTACCAGCGCTTCTCCAGAGCCATACCAAACCTGCCGGGCCTTCCTGGAGTAGCTGGGTTGCTAGCACCTGAGCTCTGGGGGGTGGGAGGTGACCCCATTACTGATCCCATGCAGATCAACAGTTTTCCTCCAAAATGGCTGCCACCTCTTTCTCATGTTTCTTTTAAAAGCAGAGGCACACGGTTTTTAATTTTAAAAAGATGTTCCCAGGCCAGGCATGGTGGCTTGTACCTATAATTGGTGCAAGTACTTTGGGAGGCCGAGGTGGGAAGATCACTTGAGCCCAGAAGTTCAAGACCAGCATGGGCAACATGGCAAAATCTCATCTCTACAGAAGATCAGAAAATTAACTGGGTGTGGCATGTGCCCGTAGTCCCATCTACTGGGAAGGCTGAGGTGGGAGGATTGCCTGAGCCCAGGAGGCTGTGGTGAGCTGTGATTATGCCATTGTACTCTAGCTTGGGCCATACAGCGAGACTCCAACTCAAAAAAATACATAAATAAATAAAATAAATGTCCCCACCAAAGCCATGCTGTTACATTTAATAAATATGTTTATTCCTTATTTTCCAAAAGGAAAGTCTACTCACATTCAGTTTTTTCTCTAACCTGCCATTTAGCTTTATTGGATGACATGAGCATGAGAAAAGATCAGGTATTTTCTTGTGTGTGCATTTTTTCATACAGTATTTGGCTTTTGGAGTAGGGAGAATCACAATGGAGAATTTCACTTTGTTGTATTAAATGGACTGTTTAACACTTTGTTTCTCTCTTATAGCCTCGTGGCTATGCATGCACAGCCTTATACCTGTTAGTAAAATAAGGAGTACTTGAGTCAAGAAAACATCTCACAAAGACAAAATGGAAAATAAAATACTTAGGTTCTTTTATCATAGCTTCTGATTACCAGGATCATAAGAATATTGCAATTCTGTAGACAATACATATCTCTCCTCTGCATGAATTTTGTGTTTTAGGAATAAAAGGAAAATTATGAGGATATTCAGCGTGCCACCTACAGAAGAAACGTCAGAGCCCAACTTTTATGACACAATAAGCAAAATTCGCTTAAGACAACAACTGGAAATGTATTCAATTTGTAAGTATATTCTGTGCTGAAATATATACATAAGCATGTTAAAATTGATTTTCTGCAATCGAGTCCAATTAGCAAAGTGTTACCAAAAATAGTTGGTAATGAACTTAGTTCCCTTTCCAGATGTTAACACCCTATTCAGATATTTGCCCTTGTGTTCCTTTTGTATTTTGTACCATACGCATGTGTTGCCAGGTCACAAGAAGACACAAAATATAGCAATTCTAGTCTCAGTAGCCAAAAGGTGGAAATAACCCAAATGTCCTTGACAGATAATCAGAATATGGGACATACAATGGAATATTATTCAGCCTTTAAAAGGAAGGATGTTCTGAAACATGCTACACATGGATAGACCTTGAAGACAATATGCTAAGTGAAATAAACCAGTCAGCGGGACATGTATTGGAGTATTTCACTTACATGGGACAGATCATAGAGATAAAACATAGGATCGTGGTTGTCAGGGGCTTCGGGAAGAGGAGAGTGGGGAGTTCTTGTTTAATGGTTCCAGAGTTCATGAGATGGAGAAAAGAGTTCTGTGGCTAGATGGTGGTAATGACTTGTGCAACAGAGTGAATGTGCAGAATTCCACTGAACTGTACACTTAAAATGGTTAGAAAGGTGAATTTTATATGGTATACTTTTACCACAATAAAAAATCCTTCAAAAAACTAATTTAAATGTTGCTTAAAAAAAAAAAAAAAGTACAGAGCCAGAAGCTCTCTATGGAAAATTGTAAACAAATAATTAAGTTTTTTTTGATGCTTACTCAGAACAGAAGTCATCCCCTATCAGTAGTATACTCAGCAATACAGCAAATACAGTTATAAACCACTATACAATTCTTTTCTTTTTTTATGGGAATAACATAAAATGTATCAGAATTCTTCTTTGTAGGATGCATTAGTTTCTATTGCTGCTGTAACAAAGTACCACAAATTTAATGACTTATAACAATAGAGACATTGTCTTGCAGTTCTGTAGTACGGTTAGAAGTTCTACAGCAGTCTCACTGGGCCAATATACAGGTGTCAGCAAGTTCCATTATTCCAGAGCCTGTAGGAGAAAGTCTGTGCTGGTTTTTTTTTCCAGCTCAGATTGCTTTGTTCATGACCCCCTTTCTCCATCATCAAAGCTAGAAGTACTGCATCTTTCTGACTATTCTTCGACGTTCACCTCTTTCTCTCTCTGAACTTATCCAGCAAAGATTTTCTGACTTTAAAGGCCCATGTGATTACATTGGGCCAGATAATCCAGGATAGTCTCCCCATCTCAAGGTCCTTAACCATAATCACATGTTCAAAGTCCCTTTGCCCTCTGAGGTGAAATATTCACAGATTATGGAGATTAAAATGTAGACATCTTTGGGAGTCATTGTATGTATAAACAGTGAGCACGTGTGTGGATTTGCGCATTTTATGAATCCCAGCACAAGGGGTCATTCTTAGTGTTCATAACTTATCTTGTCCTAATGGAGTCTAGTGGTTTAAGAGAAAATAGCCAACAAAATTATTTTCCTAAAGAAGAATCCTAAAGTTGTAAACTTTAAGCCACAAAAATCTGGATCTACTCTGGGAAGCATAGACAAGTAGAATCTCTTTCTTGACTAGTAAAAACTTAAAAGAAGAGGTTGAAAGTTTTAAAGCTATGCAGTGAATGATATTCACAATTGTTAGCCCTGTATTTTCCCTAGTTTCCAATTAAGACCATATTCTTCAACAAACATTTTTTTATAAGTACAAAAGGAAGACAGAATTGCTTATCTGGTTTTTTTAGTTTGTATTGATGATATTTATGTTCAACAGTAAGTCTCTTAGGCTTATAAGCTAAAATACAGTCAAATTCCTTATATTATAAATAAAAGCATTATTAGCTTAAAGTGGAAATGGGGGTAATAAAAGGAAATTATAGAACATTAATTTCAATAACTTAATTAATGTTTATATTTTAAAGCTCTGAATAATCCTGAGACATAAATAATAAGAAAGAAAACATATAAAAATGGGTATCTGTAGTATTTTTTTTTAGGCATGGTAGCATGCACCCATAGTTCTGGCTACTTGAAAGGCTGAGGGTATCTGTAGTATTGAGAGACTAGATGATCATGAAGTATAATAAATCTCCAAAGAAATACAATTATTTAATTTTCAACTAATTCTTTACTGAGCATCATAACTTGTCAGCATTTAATGATGTTAGCTAGTAATTATTTTGCAATTTTATTAATTTTATCTCTTTTTTTCTTCATGTTGTTGTGTTTTTTATTAGCAAGGAAGTATGACTACCAACAGCCGCAGAGCCAGGCTGACAGTGTGCAGCTTTCACTGGAGTGAGGCCTCTGAATCAGCAGCATAAGGAATTGTCGTTAAACAAATACAGTCACAAGTGCCTCATTGTTGTTACTAAATCATGAAAAACATCTTTAAAAACTTCTGTCTGCATAAAATCATTGTACTGTGACATTCTCTCAGTTTTTTGGAGTGTGACGTTTTGCTTTTTTAAATTGCATCTCCCAGTCATTGCTACACAATACAAATGGCTTAGAGGCCTGGACTCAGAAGCTGGCACATACCCAGGAAGACATGACATAACCAGATGCAGCCTTAACCTGGTGAAGACCTTCACCTTCTTCAGGATGCAGTCAGCCAGAGGCAAGCACACATCTTGGGGAAAGAGAGTCCTGGAGCTTAGGCCACTCGCTTAGAACATTTTCGCAAACTTAAAAAATAAAAATTCAGCCATTGGAATAGCTTCTTCCTAAATTACATTGTGATAAATGTAATATCAATAACAGGTTAATTGTGTTCTTGCTACTGGTGTTGATGACTCTAACTGGGTGGCCGTTCTTTGCTTCTTCAGAACTAGTGCAGTAAACTGTCTTTTCTACATCATGAAACATTCCCATCTGCTAATTTTAGAATCTTTCTGTAACTGGATTTTTTTCTCATTAATTATGTTCCCAGGAGTTTTTGTTTTTATCCCCCAGTTTCATTTCCACCAGATGGCTCTTCCCTGGGCCATACTGGGGCCATGCTGTTGAATAAAGGCCACCTGTACTTGATGCTGGCAACTTTTCCGTCATATTGCTGTTATGGTTAATGTTGCTGCCTGGTTACTTCTGCCTTTTTTAGCATAAAAGGCTTTCCTGAAGAACCTTGTGTCTTGCTGCATTTTGCACTGGGAAATGTATGAAATGTCTTTACCTCATTTTTTCATATTTACTTAAATAAAAGCTGGTTGGAGGTAGTGATAGGGAAGCTTAACTATCCCTGCAACCCAAAGAATCAGTTCTTGAATTAAAACTATTCTTAATTGTAAGAGCTAGTTAATAATTGTTTCAAGTATTATTTTCTTTTACTTTTATAATGGTGAAATTAAAGAATATACATTTTAAATGAAAAAGTGTAGCCCAAACAATCAGAGAAATTGCATTTACTTAAAAATTTTAATTATATCTTCAAAATGTATATATTGTACAGGGTGAATTGTTGACCAAATTGGATAATTCTTAAAAAGAAGTTTGAATGCGCTGCCTGTGCATACAGTTAAAAACTGAAACTTCATCTCTACAATAAATCAAAAATTAGCCGGACGTGGTAGCGCGCGCCTGTAGTTCCAGCTACTTGGAAGGCTGAGGCGGAAGGATCGCTGGAGCCCAGCAGGACGAGGCTGTGGTGGCTGGGAGCAGCCACTACACTCCAGTCTGGGCGACAGAGTGAGACTCCAACTCAAAAAAAAAAAAAAAACCTGACTGAAGGATTGTAAACAGTTATAATTATGTTGACAGAGCAGCAAAGGGACAACTATAAACTTTGCCTTGCCTTTGGAGAACTGTATACTTCCATGAGCAGAGAATTGAAGATGATTTAAGATGAAGACTTGAGCAGCAGGAGTAACTGTACTTATCACTGACATGTGGCACAATCTGGACAAATTATAAAAACGTGCTCTCAAATGATTTGTACGAATAATGCACATAAATAAATATAAACCACACAATGAAATGAATTATTTTCTTTGTGTTCACTAGATAGAGACGGTTGTAACAAACTGATAGATCATTTGGTTAGTGGCAAACCTTGGCGAGTGAGAGAGCATGAATTCCTCTTCATTTTTTCCTTACTGCTTGCTGATGGGAATCACACGCCCCGCTGGCAAGAACAACAGCAAGCCAGCTTTGAAGTCCCTGCTTCAACAGCTGAGCCTGGAAAGGGGCAGGCCCTGAAGCCACATTCAAAGTGGCGCAGACTGGTTGTCCTCTTGCCTGCATCCACCAAAGATTCAGCGGAACTCCTTGGAAGAAAAGTGGAATGACTCATAACTAGCAATTAACACTTGTCTTCTCCTTTTCCTGGTGTCTTCTTCCCTCTTGAATGCATAAGCTATTCAGCAGTAAGCACTGGTCAGCCTGCTCTGGTATACAGCCTGAGTGTGTTAAGTAATCAGATGTTCAGCTGATGCCAGCCAGCTGCACTAAGGGGAGAAGTCAGTCTCAGAGGGCACAGATGTTTGCTACTGACCTCACACTGTGCCAGGCTGAGTTAACTAGGATTCATCCGAAAAACAAAGTATTTTGGACATAGTGCACTATATATCTTTAAGGAATTAGAATTTTAAAGATATATACGTATATATATCTTTAAATATATATATATATAATTATTCTTTAGAAGTTTTTAGCAATTAACTCAATTTTCCATGCCAGTGAAAGTGGTTATGTGGAAAATTAAAAAAAAAAGCAAACAATATACGTCGTACATTTGCCTTTCCAAATTAGTTTGCTATACCAGTATTTTAATAGAGTTTTCAATCTCTAAGCTCTTACAACTAATGATAGTGGCTAGTGAACACAAAGCTATTTGAATTTCCAAGGGAGGGAACTATAACGGGATTGCAGATAATCTACAATTCTGCTAATTGGTATTTGGGCAATCTAGAGTGGACCAATAATACTTTAAAGAGTAGTCATGGTGTGGGTAATTGTTTTTACACATTAATTTTCTTCATTTTTATATTTACATTGAGCAAATTATCACATTAGTACGAGAGTCATGACATCACATTTTGAATTTGTTTGTCATTATGTACCATAATTTATCATTCTTAAGCAAAGTCTAACCTGCCATTACTATCTCGAATATCAATAAAACATCAATCAATTACATTTTGTTTATTGGAAACTAACAAACTTTAGTCCTTTTTATTGGCAGTCAAGGCTTTTATCAGCAAATGTCTTGGGGAAAGAAATTGCTCCCTTTCTTCCTTGAGACTTGATCATCAGAGTTAGCTCTCTCTTTTCATCTTTAAGACTTGTGATGTATTCTGAAGGCGAGTGGAGATTGGGTTTTAGAAATGCAAGTTCTAAGGATAGATTTTCATTTAACTATAAATGATTAATAAGTAAAAGTAGTTGAGAATGTAATTTCTCTAAATTTGCTTATTTAGTTGCATTCTAACTTTACTTAAGGTTCTGGATATTTTTGGCCACTTCTTAGATGCCTTACTTAATGCCCTGTGGCCTGTTGCCTTGGTGAAGTAGAATTAATAACAATTCTTATGCAAACTTAATACTTGTCAAATATACTCCTTCTTTGTTTTTTTTTTATAGACCTAGTAGGCTTCAAAAGGATTATAACACTAGTCTTTAATTATAGTTGTTTAGAAATCTGAGATGAACATATTAACCAACATATGACAAATGTAGACACCATTCTGCTTGCTAACAGCTTTTACTGAAGCCTGACATTTACTTTTTCTAGCTGTCTGAGAGTAAATTTAGCTTGAAACAATTTTTGGTGGAGGAAAGTTTCTTCATGGTCCAAATAATCTTTTTCTTTCTGAACTCTATTATAACTTGTCATTATTGACCAACCAAAAGGATCTAGTTCATCTTTCTCCTAATAAATTAAAATAAAATTTGAATTTGGTTTAGTTGATATTAAGTCACATTTAATACAAACAAACGGGACTCCACATTTCTGTATACTGTAGGACAACTTTAAAAGCACCAATATAGGTAGAAGATGAACTAAATAATGGTTAGAACACGGAACTGGAAACCTGAGTTCCAGCTTGTTTCATCTATGCTGTATCTGCTTGAATTTGAGCGCATCATTAACCTCACTAGGCCTCAATTTGTTCATCTATTAAATGGATGCTGTTTGATAATTTTAAAAAATTAAAAATTTAAAAAATTTTTAAAAATTAAAAATTAAAGGCATTATTATTAATAATGCCTTTGCCCCAGAGATGTTCAGATTCTAAATGATTCACAACTTAAGCTCCTTGGAAAACAGTGTAAAGATTGCTGATGTCATTGTTCAATATTTTGTGTGTGTGTTACCAGTTTGTATGCTTAAGAGTTTGAAAAAGCAAAATCAGGTATAAATGTGTTCTTTAGCTTTCTCTGCAGTCTCAGGGAAAGTGGCTGGCTAGTGGAAACTTCTGAAGTCCATGAATCAAACCATCTAAGCAAATTGTTATCTATGAACACATAGCTAGGTGTCACTTACTTTGACTACATTTTTTAAAGCTTCAGTCTTTTGTGTCATCAAGTAATGATGACATATTCCTATTTTTCACATGGAAATATGGGCACAGAGAAATTAGCTAAAAAATAGAATTATGTTATCTCTTTAGATCCTTTCCACTCTGTTTTTATGTGTGTTTTTGTAAAAGAAACAGAAAGATTTGGAGATTCAAGCATTATTTTCAGTAGAAAACAACGCAGATAGTACTCCTGGGGAATAATGTAGCATGCCTAATTTATCAGAATATAAAGCAGCCATATTCAAGTCAAGCAAATCGTGACAAACAATTTTTTCCTTACAATATTTTTGAAGTATCATTTCTAAACATTCAAATCTAAGGGATTTTTTTTGTTTCTTGGTGTTCACTTGATTATCCCATAGCTTATAAATCACAGTTCTGTTTTGTACACTTTGTACCAGACAAGTCTGGACATGCAAAGATTGTAGTGAGTTCTCAAAAGCCACTTAATATACTTGGTTGTCATTTAAGTTATGACCTTGAAAACAAAAGAAGACAAACCCTTTTATGGTGATAGGCAGATTTACATAGATTAAAGCACAAATTAAGTTCAGAATAACTTCAGTTCATACTGAAAAAGTTATTCTTTCATTGACACTCTGCCATAACACTCTGATATTTTTTAAAAGTCCACAGTAATTAATAAGTATGAAATGAAGCTTCCAGTACCTTCTCCTCCTCTCCTGTGTGTTCTTTCCACAAGTCATGGAATCTGTATCCACCCAGACTTTCAGGTGATGATTGGATAAAGTCTACCTTTTCTTCCAAAGTGCATATCCTGACACATGATGAATCAGGGCGAGAAAGTCAAGCGACATAGCTTTAAGAACACAGATAGGACCTGAGCTTTGTTCATTTGCTTCCTCTAATATCTTCTTTTGCTACAATTTTGGTTCAATAACTCAAGAATATCCAAATTAAAACA